TGCGGTGAGCCGAGATCGCGCCATTGCACTACAGCCTGGGTAACAAGAGCGAAACTCCGCCTCAAAAAAAAAAAATAAAAAATAAAAAATAAAAAAGAAAAGAAAAGAAAGGTGCAGGAGTGTCCATGGGCTAGGACAGAGCGTGTTGCTAAGTTGCATAGCCATCTGCCTGTGTGGCTATGCTGATGAAAGAGGTGTGTGTGATAGGCCAGACTGATACCTCTTAATCTTAGTGAATCTCACAGGGAAAACCTGGGACCACAGGAGAGAGGCAAGGCCCTTTGCGTGGGTGTGGGAAGCTGGGTTGGAGGACTCCTGACACAAATGGTAGGAATGGGTGGAAGGCCTAGGTAGCTCACCACTTTCAATGCCAAATTGTACCCGGCGATCTACGTCATCTGCCCAGACGGCTTCTGGAGGTTCACGGTAAAGCAAGGGGAAGACTCCTCGGCATAAGTGGACCTGGCGGGCAGCCTGGGCAGAGCGGGTGACAGCAATGACTGCTGCCCGAGGTCGGTACTGAGACAGAAGCTGGGCTGAGCTACAGGAGGCAGAGAAGGTCAGTCCAGATCAGTGGAAGAGTGGTGAACCAAGAAACGAGTCTGGGTTCTGGTGCCAGGTGTCACTAACAAGCTGTGTGACCCTGGGTAAGTCATCATACTTTCCTGGGCCTTGGTGTTCTCACCTACAAAATGAGTATGAGAATGTCTGCCTCCCAGAGCCGGTGTGGTGGCTCACGCCTGTAATCCCAGCACCTTGGGAGGCCGAGGAGGGTGGATCACTTGGTCAGGAGTTCAATACCAGCCTGGCCAAGATGGTGAAACCCTATCTCCACTAAAGATACAAAAATTAGCTGCGTGTGGTGGCTTGTGTGTGTAAACCCAGCTACTTGGGAAGCTGAGGCAGATAATTGCTTGAACCTGGGAGGCAGAGGTTGCAGTGAGCCACTGCACTCCACCCTGGGCAACAGAGCGAGATTTCATCTAAAAAAAAAAAAAAAAAATCCCTGCCCTCCCTATCACACAAGAAAGATATGAGATAATAAGGAGAAATCTCTTTAAGAAATATTAAAGCCCACTGGGCACGGTGGCTCCCACCCTGTAATCCCAGCACTTTGGAGGTCAAAGTGGGTGGATTACCTGAGGCCAGACCAGAGTGGCCAGCATGGTGAAACCCTATCTCTACTAAAAATTACAAAAATTATCTGGGCGTGGTGGTGCTCGTCTATAGTCCCAGCTACTCAGGAGGCTGAGGCAGGAGAAGCGCTCCAGGAGATGGAGGTTGTGGTGAGCTGAGATTGCACCATTGCATTCCAGCCTGGGCAACAGAGTAAGACTCCATTCCAAAAAACAAAACAAAACCAAACCCAAGAAATAGAAACCCTTTTGAAAATGTGTATTATGTGCTTAATTTACATGTAGTGCTTAATTACTTCATATCTCCTGTTAATCACTGCATTCTTATGAAAAACAAATCATTACCTTGTCCTGTTCATGAGGAAAGAGAGCATCCTGCGTTTCAGACTAAAGACTTGAACTCAGACCTACTGGGCCCTTCTGCAATACCTCAGCATTGTAAGGCTCTGTGGGCCGAATGGGCTTGCCTCTGAGCCCCAGGAGCCCAAATGGTCTCGAAGCCAAAGTGTCCAGTGATGTCACTGTCCCCATACAGCCCCTGGAGGCTCACTGGCATTCTGTCTCTCCTGGCCTCCAGCTGTCATTGCTGCCCCTCCTCTTGACTCAGATGGACCTTTCACCCCTGGTGACCAGACTAAACCCGGGCCTGGGGCCCATCCCAGCCTACCCCTGACCTCTACTCCATCTGGGCATTCCCAGTGTCCCCCTCACCGGCCAGTTGTGGTCAACACGATGATGGCAGCAGCGCAGCACTTGAAGGCAGCCTCCACGGCGCCAATGGCGGTGACCTCAGTGGGGTCACGGCTCAGTGGTGCTGCCCGACGTAGCTCCTCAAACAGCTGCCGGTGGTACACTGCAGCCTCTGCCTCCCGGGCAATCTGCAGGTGCCAGAATGTCAGGCTGCATTGGGGTGCGGAAGGGATTTGGTTCCCTGGCCCATTTGCTTTTCATGCCGAGCTCCTACCGCATGCTGCATCTTCACGGCTTCCACAGGGAAGTTGCCCTTGGCCGTCTCCCCTGACAGCATAATACAGTCAGCCCCGTCCAGCACAGCGTTGGCCACATCGCTTGTTTCTGCCCTCGTTGGTCGAGGCTTGTTGATCATGCTCTCCAGCATCTTGGGGACACCATGAACATCAAAGTTGTAGGAGTCGCACCATGACTGGGGACCCTGCCCAATCTACTTCTCTGACACCCACACATCAGAGTGTCCCAAAAACCAGGGCCACAGTCACAACCCCTGACAATAGGGGTCAAAGTATCTCTAACTTTGTAGTTTAAGGATCAAACACTTGTCAGCAAAATGTACTATAAACCTATAGTGTGGACCTGGAGTGGTGGCTCACGCCTGTAATCCCAGCAGTTTGAGAGGCTAAGGCAAGTGGATCACCTGAGGTCAGGAGTTTGAGATCATCCTGGCTAACATGGTGAAACCCTGGCTCTGCTAAAAATACATAAAGTAGCTGGGCCTGGTGGCAGTGGCCTATAATCCCAGCTACTCGGGAGGCTGAGGCAGAATCGCCTGAACCCGGGAGGCGGACATTGCAGTGAGCCGAGATCGCACCACTGCACTCCAGCCTGGTAACAGAATGAGACTCCATCTCAAAATAAATAAATAAATAAATAATGAACCTACAGTGTGGGCATTTACCCTCACCCACAGGTGTCCCTAAAACCCACAGAGTGCCCAACCTCAAGGGCTCACTCCAGACCTGTGTGGCGCAGACAACAGGCTTGCCCACCAGGTTGCAGCGCCCAATCATCATCTTCTGAGCGAGGAAAACCTTCTCTGCTGGGATCTCGATGCCCAGGTCCCCCCGTGCCACCATGATGCCGTCGCTCACCTCCAGGATTTCATCAAACCTGGGCGGTTGGGAGAATCAGGGCCAGGGCAGAAAGCTAGGAGATGCCAGGGAGAGGCAGGCTGGAGAAGAAAGGTGACGGGGAATAGCTGCGGGGAGGAAGGGGAAGAGAACCCAAACCTCACCTCTTCACGCCTTCGTGGTTCTCAATTTTGCTGACGATCTTGATGCCCTGTCCTTCCGGCCCCAGAGCAGCTCTGACCGCAGCCACGTCGCTGGCTTTCCGCACAAAGGAGGCAAAGACAATGTCCACGCCATGCTCCACCCCGAAGCGCAGGTCTCGGAAGTCCTGCTCCGACAGCCCGGGCAAGTCCACCTGGGCCCCCGGCAGGTTCACGCCCTTCCGGCTGCCCAGGACGCCGCCGTTCTCCACTTGGGTCACCAGCCCTTCTGGGCCTGCGGACATGGAGAGAGCCAGCTGTGGTCAGGGGTGAGGCCGGGGCACGGTCACAGCAGAGGGAAGTCTGGGTTTGGACCCCCAAGAGGTCAGGAGCCGTGTCCTCCTCGTCTCTCCGCCCTTGTTCTGGGCCCCGCCCGGAACAGGCACAAACGGGCGTCCCTGGAAGAAACGACGCCCCTCGCAGTCCAGCCCCAACCCAGGGTGAGCGCCGGAGTCTGCACACTGGGGACCCCTGGGACGGGCTGGCAAAGGCGCGTGGAAGAGCAGGGGAAGGCGTGGTCGGTCTGACGGCCGATGGGGGAGCCAAAGGGAAGGGAATGGGCCCAGCGCACGGATGTGGCAGGGCGGGAGGCGCGTCCGCACCGATTTTCTGGACCACTAGGGAGATGAGCCCGTCGTCAAGATAGATGCGGCCCCCCACGGGCACGACCCGGACAATATTGGGGTAGTCCACCCACACGGTGTTCGCGTTTCCCTGGGTCCGGAACGCGGGGTCCACAGTCACCAGCACCTGGGAGCCCTTCACCAGCTCCACCTCCGACTCCGGACCCTAGGCGCGGGCCAGAGGAGACGTGAGTTTGGCGGCCCGGGGGTCCCGGACCCGCCCCTGCCCACGCCCAGGCCTGGGGCCCCGCCCAATGGGCGCCGCCGTTCCTGCCCCAGCCCCGCAGGTCTCTTCCCCACCGCTCACCCCCTGCGGGATCCCAGTGCGGATCTCCGGTCCCTTGGTATCCAGGGCGATGGCCACGGGCCGGTAGCTGAGCGGGGAAGCTGCAAAGCTCTCCACCGCCTCCCGGATGTTGGCGATGGACTCAGCGTGGTACTTGGGGAGGAATCGGAGCGAGGGTTTCAGAGAAAGCTGGCCAGGAACTCGAGGCATCCTCCCGCCCCACCCACCGCCCAGCGGCCCGTCCCGCACCTCGTGGGAGCCGTGGGAGAAGTTGAGTCGCGCAATGTTCATCCCGGCCTTGATCATCTCCTTGAGGCGCTCCACGGAGCGAGATGCCGGCCCTAGAACCAGAGATTCCACTCAGACAACATTCCCCCAAAACAGGAGAGGCAACCAAACCCAACCCATCGCTACCCTCAGAACGCCCCATGCCACAGGAGTCCTGTTACCTGCCTGATGCAACCCCTGATCACAGGTCACAAACTCCGTTTCCCTCTCCAGCCGACATCCATCCCCTTGGGGAGGCAGCTCTGTGGGAGTTGGAGGGGAGTACCCTTGGCCGGGCCTGAGGTCACTGTGTCAGCAAGTGATGTAATTAAGTGCTGCCTACCCGGTCACCCCAGGGTCTGGGGTGTATAGCAGGTGGTGGGAGACAGGTGAGGGTGTTTGGGTGCGGGGCTTTTAGAGCTAGGAGGCCTCATGGACTGAGGAGAGTTGAGTTCTATCTCAAGGACATAGATTCAGCCATTCTGTGGTCCTCTGTGACACCCATGTTTTCCTTTTTTTTTTTTTTTTAAATGAGACAGTTTCATTCTTGTCGCCCAGGCTGAAGTGCAGTGTCATGATCTCAGCCCACTGCAACTTCTGCCTCCCACATTCAAGCAAGTCTCCTGTCTCAGTCTCCTGTGTAGCTGGGATCACAGGCACCCACTACCATGCCCAGCTAATTTTGTGTATTTTTAGTAGAAACGGGGTTTCGCCATGTTGGGCAGGCTGGTCTCACACTCCTGACCTCAGGTGATCCACCTGCATCAGCCTCCCAAAGCGCTGAGATTACAGGCGTGAGCCACTGCGCCCAGCCATGTTTTTCTTTTTCACTGGATCATTCCCATCAGTATGTAAACCTGTTGTTATTTCTTTCATCGTTTAAAAAAAAAATTCAGACCAGGCTTGGTGGCTCACGCCTGTAATCCCACCACTTTGGGAGGCCAAGGAGGACAGAGCATGAGGTCAGGAGTTTGAGACCAGCCTGACCAACATGGTAAAACCCATCTCTATTAAAAATACAAAAATTAGCCAGGCTTGGTGGCGTATGAGGTAATCCCAGCTACTCGGGAGGCTGGGGCAGGAGAAGAGTTTGAACCCAGGAAGCGGAGGTTGCACCACTGCACTACATACAGCCTGGGGGACAGAGTAAAACTCCATCTAAAAAAAATTTCTTAATCACCTGGTTTCTCTTCAGCCTGAGTTTTTGCTCTCACTTGCAGCAAAACTCATTGCAAGAGTTATCTGTACTTGCTGCCTCCAGTTCCCTTCCCCCATTCTCCTTTGAACCCACCCCACTCAGGCGTTGGCCTCCATCTCTCCACTGCATCTGCTCTTCTCAAGGTCACCAAGAAACTCTGTGTTGTTGCTCAGTGTAATGCTCAATGTTCATTCCTCCTCTACTGGCCTGTTAGCAGCCTGGACACACACCCCTCCCTGACACCAGTCTTCACTTGGCCTCTAGGACCGCACCTCCCTTGTTTGACTCCTGCCTCTCTACCTGTTCCTTCCCAGTCTCCTTTCCTTGTTCCTCCCCTTAATGTTAGAAGCCCTGTTCTCCGTCATTTTACCTACACTCCTTTGGTGATTTCTAGTCTCATGGCTTGAGATACCATCTATATGCAGACAACTCCCAAATGTCTTTCCAATGGAGACCTTCCTTCCAAAACCAGAGTTGTGCACCTGACTGTCCCCTCTCTATCACACTTGGGTGGCTAATCTACATCTCAGACTCAACATGTCCCAAGCAAACTTCT